AGGCACTGAGCTTGAATCTGGGAACAGTCGCATTGACGTCGTGCTCGGATGATTTTGGCCTGGAAAAAGTTAGCAGTAATAGGGAATGGACTGATATACGCTTCTAAGTGATTGAAAAAAAATCACTGGGAAAATTAAGTGTTGATGGGCATAAGAAAAATGAAAAAGCCACGCATATCATGTGGAAGTCGGAAGATTGTCTTTCTCAACAAAATGTAAACGAAAGAGTTCTCATAGCGAGACCGTTATAGACTGAATGTGAGCAGATCAAGTATAATTTAATCCACCTCAGTTATGCCGGCCTTCGATAGGATGTCTCGGTTAATGCCCTGCTCAACTTCGAACGGCCTGAAAGCCATGAGGGTAGGAGGAAGTGAGGCCCTGGTAGCAAGCAATCACCTTTCGCTCCATTACATATATGGCAAGTCAATGGATTTTTTCATCCCCGAAGTTTTTTACCACTGCTTTTTTTTGAATTTCTGGGTTCCTAAAAGTCGGTAATTTGAAAATATGCACATCTTAAGAAACTATTGGACCTCTGCTAATTTAGACTTTTCATATTCTGAGAAGAACTTGGTTTTTCAGTTTCTAAAGTCTAAACACATAGAGGTTGTTGTTGCACACAACATAGACCCCACTCACAATTTTTGAGCCCCACGCACTTTCAAAGGAAAAACAGATATTCGTGGTCAGATGCCCTGGTAATTCAGAATCTTCCATGTTGGGAATCATATTAAGCCTTGTTTTCAAGCTATTTTATCGTGAATCTTGCCAAAGGCTAATTTGAGTACTTTTTCAAGCCGGGGTGCCTAAATGAATGGCTGCTGCCACTGGTTTGGTGGTGGGTCAGCTTTTCGAATGAATTGATGGCTACACGAATTGCGAAGAGGTGGGGGCAAGTGGCGCACTACCACATGCACATGATCTGCGGCTCGAATCTTCGATATCCGCTTGGGCCAACCAAGCCTTCCATCCCTCAGAAATCGAGTAATTGGTACCAGATTCGTCTGGGAGGATGAAGGTATTGACTTGTGTCTCGGGTCCACTGCCATTCGTTGTATAGGCCACATACGTATTCAAACCACCACTATGATTTTGAATGGAAATCGAATACGGCGGCGCCTACCAAAAAAGCGGGATGGATTAACCCCAGAGATTGTCCTTTTCATCTTTTAATAATAAAACAAGGTTTAAAAAACCTAAAATATGAAAATTACTCACCGAAGTAGTCAGGAATACCGCTGCCAGCACAAGTATGCCGAGGAACTTCATAGTGATGACGTTTTCAATGAGAAGCCGAGCACCAATTAGTCGTTGACGGACAGTGTGTATATATAGCGTCCAGCAACAGCGTAGGCGTGCCGCCCAATACCGGACCATGGTATTTGCAGTAGCGCTTCAAAGCACTCTTGAGCAGTAAAAATCACTTGTTAAGCGCGGACCTCATCTGAGAGCCTGCTTTGAAGGCATCCTCCTAAATAGCATGAAAGGAAAGCTCATGGCGAAAAGTTTTTGTGGATAATTTGGTGGTGGCCGGCAAATATTACGAGACGCATCCGATGCTTTTTTCGTGCGAAATCGATTTAGGCGGCCGTGATGGTTGAAATATGCAATTCCTGATGCTATCCTCGGTCTAGACGAAAGCTGTGAGGACTGTGCTTCCTCCAGGATCTTTCCATTTTTTCTGTTTGTTTCTAGTGCTCTCGTGATGGCTGTAGTCGTACGCGATCGATTTTGCTAAGATAGCTGAAATCGGAACAGAAGATAGTACTAGAACTCATAATTTTTTCACAAATGCACCGTCAGCTACTTGTACCCGGCTGTGATAATAGATGGTAATACACGCTACTGATCATTTGCTCGTTTTAGTGTAAGTAAGGAAAGCTGGACTTTCAAGGTTCGCTTTTCTCAGCCCGTTTGTTCTGCCCCTGTATAGAATCGTTACTGTCCAGGAGATGTGAGAAGCTTACCAACTCTTAGTCAAAGCATCCGCTGTAGAATCGATAGTAAACCTTAGACTCAACGTTGTGATACGCCATTCACTCGGTTTCTAATGAGATCTGTCATTGCACAGTAACATTACAAAGCAACTCTTTTTGCGGATGATCATTGCTCGTTTTCCGTGAAAATCTTTCCCGATCGGTCGGAATTGGTAAGGGAGGTGGACGAGTTTGTGATTGATCGGAATTCCCTTTCACGCACTTGAATTGCAGAAGCTTTTCTATTGCCATAATCATGTCTTGCGTCCTCAGCAACTGTCTGTTGTCCTAATCGATCCTGATCGGCAATCTGTCTGTACATACTAGGGGGAGCCGTTTTTTGCATTTAGCCAGTCTTCTAGCTACTGCTTGAAAAGGTTCGGCTTTAGAGCATAGAGCTTTAGAGCAAGGTTCTGTATGAACTTGGCTCATATGTGATCCGTCTACAACTCCTTATCGAAGAACGTTTTCTAATGCGTTCCGCTGATATGAGGCTTTGAGCTTGAAGGCATAGACGAGGCTGTTTCGGTAGTGCCTGATGCCGTAAACGGAGCGATTTTGCTCCGAATTTCTTATATTTGGTCCATATTTTGCTACTAGACTATTGATCGAAAACATTTCAAAGCATTAGTGAAAATTCCGCACCAGCTCAGGTTACTAATGCCTTCAAGGCTAATAGTCCTTTTTGCACAATTTCGTGATACTGATGCTGCTATTGCTTATTCATCAAAAATGCCATTTGTTGAAGATGGATTGCAATCTCGAAGATAGAATTAATCTAACCTCCTGACTGGTTTCTTAGTTGATTTTGTTTTGTTTAAATACCAACTGCTCTCGACTGCAGACTATTGTCCGCTTTTCTTACTTCATTTCCTTTCTTTTCGACTGATCGTACCTATTACGTAATAGCAGAGGGTTTTCTGATGAACGCTTGAATGATTCTAGGAAGATTTCTCTACTTGATTCTTTCGATTGGTCTTATACTATTTTACCTCGCTTATTCAATGTACTTCTTCTCGTTCCTCTTCTTTGCCATTAAGCTGATCCCAATCCAGAAATTTTCTTGTTTTTTTTTTGGAGAACACTTCCTGATTTCTTTTAATTTCATTTGAGTTCACCATTCACGGGCTCTCCATCATGTTTAGTCCCTTGTTAAAGGTCAAGCAGATCGTAGCTGAAGCGAATGAGTGAGGGGTTGTTTTTAAAAGGGTTGCGAAAGCTCGCAGCATGGAATCATTGTTTCCGCTTTTAAATTTGGTATAGATAAGATATAGAGTATGGTCGAAGGATAGGTTCGTTTGTGTGGGGCCTCATTCCATGCTTTACAGAACTTAAGGCTTGAACACCTACTCAGTAAATTATTAGCAAAGCCAGGCCCCAGATGTATCATTGAATAGTTTGCGTTAGCTTTCCGACACAGCTACTCTCTTCCTCATCATGAGAAGGAGAATGCTAGACCTCAGTTCAGGGGTGAACTAACATTTGTGTCTATAAGCGAGCACAGATCAGGGAAGCTTGAAAATGAAATTTGATTGAAATTTAACCATAAAAAGGTTCTTTGTCGGCAAAGCATCAGATAGTAACTGGACTGCAATTCCATAAGCAAATCATTTTTCTGATAATAACTCATCTACCATGTTGAAAGTGCTAGTAGATGTTCTACTTTCATGATGCTTTTCCTGTATAATGAGCTATGCAGGTCTATGAGTCATTATCTAACGCTTCAAGAGAACCAATCCAAATAAATTCTGACTACTCGAACCAACATAAGAATCAGGATCTCTAGCTCTGTCATCAGTGGTTGAAATTTGGTGTTCAACTGAATAATGTCGAAAGCGCGGTGTGTTCGATGTGTATTTGATCGACTCTAATGTTTGTTGTCCCCCAATTTAATTTTCTGTTGATGTTTGGGAACGCTGTCCCATTGGGGATGGTTCAAGGGAAGACACGTGGATAATCATGAGTCACACTTCAATACAGTACCTGTCGGCCAGTCTTCGATAACAGTCATCGCTGCTGACTGTAATCCACACCAGATTTGCTCAAATTGTAACTGATTTTTGGACTATCTTAGATTTTTAATCTATGAGCAGGCCCTCAAGTGAAATGTTTTTGTTTCCACTAGAAGGTTTCGAAATCAATAATCCGTATTTCGAAAACAACCATTTAATATCGCAGCCATTGTCACATTTTTCGTTTATCTGCCGATTCGTTTTAGTTGCCGCAATCGCTGATCATTCGTATCGAACGTGTCGGTGTGTTGCCGTCTGGAAGCGAGTTCAAACTAGCCGATCATGTGGAATTCGGGGAAACCCTCGACGTTCGCGACCTTTGCTTTTACAGGAACAAGGAGGTGAGCTTCACAAGTTTCGATCGCCGTTATTTTTTCTCCGCTGAAGATTCACGTCGAAGTGATCACGGCAAAGTGTGTGTGTGTCGTTTAGCGTATTACTGGTTTGAATGGATTTTGTTTTCTAAATTTATTTGCGTAATGCTTTGACTACTGGTTTAATGTTGGCTAAGCTGCTCGGCGTATCTTGTATTGCGTCCGATAGATAAATACGAGCGTGACAAAGGATGACAACTTCCCAGTTGTCCTACTCTTCCGCTTCAGGGAAAAAATCTTGTTATGGGTAGAGTTTTTAATGATTTTTGAGGGATGAAAGCTTCCGTGGAAAGATTATATTTGAATCCCATGAATCATTCATTTTTTCCATCATTGAATTTATTTCACTCAGTTTTCCCTATCACCAGGTAGTGAAAGATTTTGCTACCATATTTTGAGGTTTGATCGCAGTCAATTTTGATTATCAACCTTTACAAACACATCAGCAGTTTTTTGTCTCTCCCTGATCAAAAATGTACAAACATAGAATCATAGCTCTGTCAAATATAGAATTACAGTCAAAAGTAGGCTGTAAATTGGCATGCATACCGTAACCATGGGCAAGGTTCAGCGCGTGGTGGCAACTTTTCCTGGTGGGACAAAGGGTCGTGATAGGATCAGTCTACTCTAAATGAGGATTAGGAGATGATAAATTAAGGTCGTTTAACGTTGATCATTCTCTTCTGAAGAGCTCTGCCAATACATAAATTAATAAATCGGAGGCTTCTGTGATCAGGTGATGATTACGCAGATCGGCAGACACAGGCACAGAGGTCGTATTTTTCATGCACATTTCCAAAAAGACACGTATTTTTCGCAGAGGTCAAACAATACCATTCCTATTGCCTGTGGTGAACAGAGGCAATAGGAATGGTATTGTTCGACCTCTGCGAAAAATACGTGTCTTTCTAGAAATGGGCTTTAGTGTTGGCTTTCACGACGACAGCTGGGACTGTGATCTTATGAAGAGTGAAAATTCACAATTTTCTAGTAACTACTTAAAAAATAACCGTGGGGATATTAAGATTTGGTTGTGGAAAAGATGCATAAGCATCATTTAAAAACGTTTCAGAAGACATAGGACTAATAGACTTGAAACGCCTACCGTAAAAATAGTCAGGGAAGTTTCAATTTGTTGATAGATGGTTTTCTGATGGAAGTAGAAACAATTCCAGGCATCCCATTTGTGATAGTGGCAGGTGGCACATCACCACACATGTATGGTCACGGGTTCGAATCCCTGATCCTTTTCTACTTTTTAATCTCCATGAACTGAAAATTATTCTGAGCAGAGTTACATAGGCTGAATTAGCTGTTTTTGAACGCACGTGGCAATCTTCTTTTTATACCGCTAATGTCCATGTGCACATTTCGAAATGCGAACCGATTTCGGCTGTTGTTTTTTTTTGTACCCCAACAAAATTGTTAAAAGGACATGTCCGACATGTATTTTCTGTTAGGGTAAAAAAAA